CCCCAGTCTCCTCTTTCGATTGATGAAAACCGCAGGTCGCTAGCGCTTGCCATTGTTGAGTTATTCAATTGACACCAACCCCTCTTTAATTCTGGCGCGGACATTAGCTCTTTGGATGAACGAAAACTTTAACATTGTCCAATGAGAATACATCATGTATCATTTCTTAAAAATTTCTAAATTTAAGATAATATATTAATCCTATTTATCTTTTTGTTCTTTAGTCGTGCGAATGACGAGAGGAATAGATCATTGATATATTTTTAAAAATATTTATTGCTTGTGATATGATCAACATCGAAGAAAATCTTTTTGAATTCATATTTTAAAAGAGATTCATTTAGAATGATAAATGTTTTTTTTGTTTTTTGTTTGAACAAAAGTAGCTTGTATCTGAAGGTCTATGAAAAATTTCTTTTAATTTTTTTCATTAAAAACTACTAGAAAATATTAGCGCGAATAAAACTAAGAACATTCTTGATCAACTTTTGCTATTGATAGATTGAATTAAAGAATATTATTCAAATGGAAATAAAAACTAATTCAATTATTAATAATGAAAATAATGATGAATATTTCATTCCACTTGAACCTAATCATGCTTTAGCATTGACTATGAATTTTCCACAATTTCCAGAAGCTATTTCATCTAAAACTTCATTTATTCAAACAGGTTTATTTATTATTTTTACATCGATTTAATTAACTAATGTAATTGATATAGATTTTAATTATGATTGTCCGGATTGTCTAGCTGATCTATTTGGACCACTTATGGCTCCTTATGCAGCATTGCAACAACAGAATGATGATTATCGTCTTCGTCTTGAATATATTGCTTATCAACGTTATGTAACAATGAAATTATATTTATTTGATTCGTTTAAAAAAAATTTTAAACAAAAATGGAAACATACATTTCAAGTTTGTATTTTACTTTCATTATGACTTTTTTAATTATTTGTTTTTCTTGAATAGCATCCATTTAAATACGATATTAAAGGTGTACGTGACAATTGATTTTAATATCAAATAATGATATCATACTTAATAAATGTATAGTTTTTACCACAAATAGCTACAATAGGAAGATACATATCAATAATGTCAAGTGGATGGATCTTCGTATGATTAGAAGCAAAAAAAAAAAAATTTAAAGATTCGTTAAATTTTATTTGTAGATTATTGGTATTATTCTTCTAGTTTTTGCAACATATTTAATATTTGTTAATGATCAACAACAACAACCTATGATAACATTTATTCGTACATTTAGTAAATTTTATAGAACATTCTTCTTTCAAGGGGTTTGTTTATAGAAAATTTTAAATATTCAAAAAAAAAATGACAACTAGAAAAATAAAATCTATTATTAATTTCATATAGATTATTGGATATTTAATATTCTATAGTATTCTATTAATTGTATCATCATTATGTTCATTATTAGGTGCATTAGTTTGTTCATATCTATTGACTTTATTTGGTATATTGAGTATTCTTATGACTTTTGCATTAACTATTGTTTTTCCAATTATTTTAAATCTTTCAAAAAATTTATTGATCAATAAATTAGAAAGACATATGCGAATATCTATTCGAGATTATGATAATATATCTGAAAATCCAATAACAATATTTTGGAATGAATTACAAATAAAAGTAAACAATAAATAAAATAAAAAATTATGATTTTTTTAAAATATTTCATTTAGTATTCATGTTGTGGATTAGAGAATCCAATATTAGAATATAGTCAAAGTTATTATCATATATTAACTGGAGAAGATATACCTTCATCATGTTGTAGAAATGGTAAGTATAAATATTTTGAATTCAATAAAAATAATAAGTTTTGAAATAAATTTAAACATCATCATTCTTACATTTGAAATAAACAAACAAACTTTTGACATTTTCGGTAGATTATTGTATCTACTTAGTAATAAGTAACTACGAAGTTTGAGATCCATAGCTTTTACTTTAAATGAAAACTTATTGCCTCATCATCATGTAGTATTTTATCAATTTATATCATGTTTTTGAAATAAAAATAAACATATTAGGCATACAATAATAATGATATAAATTTGAGTTGATTTTTGATTGGAGAGACCATTCTGAGAGTGATAGCTGAATTTTGTAAAAATAAACTAAAAAGAATCTATAATAGACTTGTCAAAACTCTATGTTTCGATTTGCTTGTTCAAGAAATGACTAGTTCTCATGTTTTATAAAATTCAGCTACTTTCATGTAATAAAACTAACCCAACTGAAAAGTCAAAATGTTCAACAAAAAATACTTTATTTTCTGAGAAAAAAAAAGACTTTCTGATAAAGGTAATCCTCCAACTAATAAATTTGCTTTTTGAGTCTAGATTATATATATTATGTAAACTTAAATGAGCTATGAATGTCCTTAGCTTATTGTTGTAGAAATAATGCACATTGATCAATAGTTTTTAAAGAAATGCTTCAATACTCTTCTGAAAAATTGATTTTTGAACTTAAAACTTTATGTTGAGACAAATCTTAATAAGAATAGTCTTTTGTGAATATTTCAGATTTTGTTGATGTTTCTGTTCTAAGATACTGTTATGGAAATAGTATGTCTTTTACACAAAGGGGAACAAACGGACTTCTGTACTTCCGAAGTACAAAGAAGTACGCGCTTTCTTCCTCGATTTTTTCCCAAAACAGAACAAAAGTGTTCTGTTATTGGGAAATGTCAAAAATTCTATTCCCGAAAAACAGAACAAAAATGTTCTGTTTTTTGGGAACAGAGTTTTTGATATTTGTCAAGAAGTACAGAAGTCCGCTTGTTTTCCCTTGCTTTTACATCGCTTATATCATAATAGAAGCTATTTTTCAGTGTATTCAAAGTTCATTTGAATATACATAGTCTCGACTTAAAAGCGATGTATCAGTTGGTGAAATTCTCGCGTAAGTACTATATAATCACTTCTAAGCTGTTTCTAACAATGAAAATAATATGTCTATCGGTTGTACAAGATATACACAAAGTTTATTTTTGGCAGAATAATAAATTTGAAAGTGATTGCAGAACTTCTAAGATATCGTTAATATTATTCTAGGAATGCTTTGTACAACTACACCAAACATAGCAAATTCATTTATAGATGTACGAAATATTTCGTTTATTTTGTACAATGTTTTTTTTTTTTCTATTTCATTTAGAATTCATGTTTACCACAAGCAAAAAATTTTATAGATTTAACAATTGAAACAATATTTATTGGACATATTCTTCTTATTGTTCTTCTTGTATATAATCTTTATTTTTGAAATTTTTTTGTTTTTATTTTTCTATAATATTTATTTTGTATTTTTTTAGTTAATTGTTTTAATTAGTATTGGACTTTTTTTCTTGTATATGAAAACAGCTAAACAAGCATTAATTAGATATAATAAATTTATTATTAAATCAATGTTATCAACACTTGAACAATATGAAAAAGAATTTGGTGTTTATGAAAATTCTATGCCAAATAAAATAAATTTTTATAATAAACAACATATACAAGGAATTTTACCAATAACACCAACTGTTATTCGTATTAAAAATCCTCGAATAATGAATTATCTTGGTTTTGATTAATTTTTTTATTTATTATCACAGCAAGTGTAATAACAATGACAAAATACAGATCCAAGATTACGAAGTACTAGAACGTACATACGAATTGATGAAATAAAAACCAATAGATCTTGTTTTTCTTTTCTTTTTGTCTTTCGTGATTAACATCAAAAAAAAAAAAAGTCACAGGGTTTTCTTAATAACTAGGAAATGGCATTCGATCAATGCCTCGTTGTTGATTAGTTAATGATAATGGAAATGAAACACCAAATTTTGCTAAACAATCATATGTTGGAAAACAATAAAGTGTTGTTTGTTGATAATCATAATTTGTTTTAAATAAAATACGTTCAAAATCATTATCAGTATTATATTGAATATTTTCTTCATGTTGATGTTCATGTTCTTCTTCATCATCAGTATTTTCATTTGAATAAAGATTTATTTGTTTTTCTATTGTCTTTTTTAATGGTACTTGAACAGTTTCTAAACAATTCATTTGTTGAAATAATTCAATACAATCATTAATAGCAACTGGTTGAAGTACACATTTATAATGTTCATATAAATATTCAAGATTTGTACCTGGATGATCAATTATAAATAAAAGTAATGATTCCATCATACGTTGTAAAACAGCAAAATTTATTGAACCATCAGTTGATTTCCAAGGACGAGGAACAAAAACAATACGCTAGGAAAAATAAAAAAAAAGAATAATATTCATTTATCTACAAAACTATTATGAAATTCATGTTGTACAAATTGTAGTTCTTATTTTTTTTGTTTCTTATGACATAGATTTTTTTTTAAAAAGTCTTATAAAAATATTAAATATCAGTTAAGATCGTGTCTACATATTGTAAATATCAAGTGTACTCATGCTGCTCAGATTTGATTTAAATATTCACCTGAAGATCAAGTGAGTCATAACGATGAGCATTACTTGTTTATTTTAAGACCCTCCCCCCTCACAAACAAACGTTTTTTTATTTTTGCATGAAATTCAACCAAAATTTCAGAGAATATTAGTCTTGGCTTGAGTAGATTATGGTTAAAATATCTCCTCAAATTTGCGAGTATTAACCAAAATTACCCTGTACGCGGGCAAGATTTTCACAATTACAATAGGAGCTAACATGGCGGAGCGGTTTTTAAGTTGTAACTCCCTCCCCCCAGAATAAAAGGGCATGCCCTTATACAGTGTCTTGGCACATCGCTACTTTTCAGATGGCCTTCTATTAGGGGTCAATTTTTGGCCAATTTTGAATTAAAATCATTTAAAAAATGAATAATTAATTAATAACTTTAATTATTGTTTTTTAGGTGTTTTTGGTTGAAAAACCTATCATTTTTTGTAAAAACTGTACTATTTATGATAGCAAAGGAAGGATTTCACAAAAAAACATTAGAAAATCGGTTATATTTCCTTAATTATTAATTAATATTTATGAAAATTTGATTAATTTGGGAATATATTAATTAATTAGTACATGGCCTTCTATTAGAGCGTTTGAACTTTTGCTCGGACATGGCCTTCAAATATAGGGTGGCCGTCTATTTGGGGGGGGGGGGGGGGGGGGGGGGTCCCTTGGGCGCAACGCTTTAACAGCGCGCGTTTTTTAAATTCCCTTTTGGTTATATTTTAGAAAACCTTTTTTTTTGGAAAAATTTTCGAATTCATGAGCAAAAAATCGCTGATAAAACTGACATAGATAAGTTTTTTTTATTTCGCAAAATATAGAAATTCAAAAATCGAGCTCTGTTACGACATAGCCGTCCTCTATGCAATAAAAAAAAAAATTATCACTTCTATATTGAGTTGTTATTGAGTAAGATTTGCTCGCGCAATCGAAAAAATGGATTTTGAAAAAAAACGGAAAATAAATTTTTAAAAAACTTTATTTTTTTCAATATGGAGATTTAGAAAAACTTATGCAATATCCTTAAAGTTCATAATCAACTATAGTGCATTCGAGATTAGACATTTTGCTCTATTTAACAAGCTATAAATCACAAATTTGATGAAAATAGACTTTGTCTGAGGAGGATTTAAGATGACATCTAACGAGGAGAGTTTAGTGTTGAAGTCTACTGTTTCTTCTACTATGGTACCATCTTACAAAAAAGAATTAATCATTCAAATGTCAAAAAAAAAAGATATCTAGAAAACTTCATCACTAATACTAAAAAATTCAAATTTCAATTAGAATAATTTATGAATTATTAATAAATAAATGATTATAATTTTCTTACTTCAGCTTGATCCAAAATTAATTGATTATTATTATTAATTATATTTTCATTATTCGATAAATTTAAACATTTTATTTGTCTATTATCTTGTATCATTTCAGTATCCATTGTTGTCATAGATGAAGTTGAATCAACAAAAGCACTTGTTAATAATGTTTCAAGATTATTATTATTATCATGTTGTCGAAAACGTATTGAATAAATAAGCCATGAACGTGCATGTTTTCGATGTACATATATACGTGTTCGACTTCCAGCAGCAATTATAATTCCAGATATTAAATAATCATGTAATTGTTTACAACATTCACTAAATGTCATTGATAATTTAACTTTATTATATAATTGATAAAAATTTAAACCAAATTCATGTGAATTAAGTATTGTATTACATAATAAATTATTTTCATTAAATTCAATGTGTTGTTCTTGATCATAAACAGCAAAATATAATGGAAAACGTTCAATTAATTTATCAATTGTATATAATGATTTTTGTACATAAAAATGTTGATATTGTTCATGAAGAAATTCATTTGAAAGAATAAAATTTATTGAACAACAACTTAATGATGATGTATCAGTTGCATGACGACCACGTCCAAGTGGATTTTGTGTTGATGAATTTGGACGTAATGTTGTTTTATTAGATTTTATTTGATGATGTTGTTCATGTTGACGATGACGATGACGAACAAGACTTGTTCGATTTAAAAATGATTTTGAACATTCTGAACATTGATAACGAATTGATGTAGATGATTTTGTACGAGAAATAGAAATATCATTTTCATTGGTTGTTACCTAAAAAAACAAAATAATCATAGCTTAATCTTTTACCATTCATTAGTTTTTCCTAGAAGTCCATTGAGAATCATGGTGAATTTAAGAGACAAGCAAATTACTGTTCAGTAACAATTTATGTATGAAAAGACTTTAAGCTAGATTTCTTAATCTATTTTGCATTAAAACCTTGTCAAAATTTGCAGTATTTTAAAAGGAAAAAAGCAAAAAGAAATACAGCTGTCTTTCGAATTCTTGAATTTTGTTCGTACTAGGGGTGGGAAGTTACCGTTACATTCCCAGGTAACTGGTAAGTTTTCCGTTCCCGGGTAACGTTTGGGAACGGTAACTTCCCACCCCTAGTTCATACACTCATCTTTTCTGATATTGTTCAACATAAATGTAGATTTATCTCAGAATTTCATAAAAAAAACAAAATTTATTCAGTCATTCGTGATACTATTGAAAACTGTCTTTGACAAAGCATAGACGAGATTCCATCTCTTCATGTCTAAGAATTTCGTAACTTATACGTCTAAATGTTTCATAAAAATTCAATCATATAGATGTACAATTTAACATCTGACTGAATGCAATCTTCAGAAAACTACGTGATAATTCTTGTTCTAAGACTTTGTGTTGAATGATATTTTTCCAAGTCTAAAAGCTCTACTAGAGTCGAAAAAACCCACCATCAAGATAGCTGAGATTCTTTCATTTTAGAATCTTTTCAATGAAAGAAGAAAAAAAATAGCTTATGAATAAAATTCTTTCTATAAACGTTATTCATTTTAATCCATTTTTGATTAAAATAAATCTTATATTTGATATATATTAAATACTAAACTATAAAATCATAATAATTTAATTAGAAATGAATATAAAACATACTTTTAATTTTTTATTTGTATTTTCATTATCTATTGAAAATTTTCTTTTATTAATATTTTCATAACGTGTTTGATCAATACGTCTTGCACTTTGTAAAACTTGTTCAAAAACTCTTTCATGTTCATCATCATTATTATCATCATCATCTGTATTTGATTCATCATCATCATCATCATTATTATTATTATTTTTATTTAATTTTGTTATTATCATTTCAGGTTCATTATCAAGACTTTTAGGTAATGATAAATTTATATCAAAATAATTTGAATCAAAAAATGTTATAAATGATGCAGCTATTGCAACATTATTTTGTTGTTCAATATCAATTGTTAAAATTATTTCATTTTTTATATTATTAATATCTATTTTTGATAATATATTTTCATTTATCCATGAATATGTTTCATGAAGAACAATAGCTGGCATATATGTATACCAACGATAAATATATCGTTGATTAATATGATATGCACGACCAGCTAAAAATGTTGATGCTTCACTTGTTATTTTTCGTTGTATATCATTTGATTTAGTTAATGTTATAACAGCATCTGTATGCATTAAACGATAAACAATTTCATTAAGTAATGATTCAGGATATTGAGAAAATATACAATGAAGAATAAATGCTTTTATTGTACCAGAACGTTCATTTGATAATAATGAACTATGTGCTGCCATACTTATTGTTGAACTTAATATTGATTTCGTTGATCTGAGAACAAAAAAAAATCAAATATAAAGAAGATTTAATTAAAACAAAAAAAGAACGTTTGTCAACATAATATACACCACTGGCCAAAAGTTCCTGGACGTATGAAACTTCAAGTGAAGATCAATCGTTTTCCATGATATTTTTACCAGAGATGCAACTTGAAAAACTGTGATCGTTAGTACCAATTCGAGCTCGAATACGCTGAGTAAAAGTTGAGTTAGAGATCAAATACTGCTTTCAGTCTGGTAAGCACAATTTCTATTTTTTAAAGGATTTCTCAACCTGGTTCATCCATTATTTCGAACTTTCTACTTGCTATGTTTATGAATATCGCTAATTTCTTCTAAAAAAAACTTATATCGGAGATGTAACA